ATGTAAACAATTTCCGGGAAACTTCTCGACCCCAGGGAACCAATGGCACAGTTCTCGGGGATGGACAGCTTAGCCTACATTGCTGGTGCCTCTTCTACTGTCTGACACTGATGATTCTGAAAGTACAGAGACCAATACAGACAGCAGCACAGGGAACAGTACAACTCAACCAAACTTTTCATTCCCGTACAAATTCATCATACTGAATTAGCGGCAATTGTGGACAGTGGTAGCAGCATCAACGTGATTTCTCAAAGTTTGTATGGTCAGATTCCCATTGGGTTCAAATCACCTATATCTACCGAGGAGTCTGCTGACATTACTGTAGCTAATGGTCAAACTGTATCTGTGTTACGAACTGCAACAACTGATGCTCAAATGACTCATGGCTCTCATTGACTACAAGGTTTTGTTTAACCCCATACTAGTCATCCACTAATTTTGGGAACTCAATTTCTTGCTTAACAGAAAGGTGTACTTGACTTGAGCTCTTTTTCTTACAATCTTCATGATGCTGAGATTCGTTGCCCTAAATGAAGAACTGTTCCTCCAGGAACTGAGACAGTATTATGGGGGAAGCTTCCAGACAATGTTCTTTATGGTTTGCAAGGAATCTGTTCTACCTCCAAGAATATGGTGAAACGTAATTTACTCATTGCTAAATCTCTTGTAACAGTGACAGCAAATCGCATGGTCCCTTTAGGTATTGTAAATCCATCTTTGAATCCTGTTGTGATACCAAAAGGAAAAGTTGTTGCCTATTTTCAGACTCTCAACCGGGATTATACTTTTGCACATGTCGAAGATAAATCATAGCTAATATGGATCTGTCAAACAAAGTCAGCATCCTGAAACAGATTGGGAAGTTTTCCAACAGAACTCTTCCAGATACCTTACAACTCGAAGAAAAGGCGGCACTTCGTTCATGCCTGTATCGGTTCAAGGACTTGTTTGTTTCTGATGACGATCTGTCATTAGGATTCACTGACAAGGTGCAGCACAAGATCATTTTGAAACCAGATGCCAAACCTAAATAGCAGAGGCCCTACCGACTACCACCGGATAAACGGGTAGTGCTACGACATCATTTGGATGAGTTACATGAACAGGGAATCATTGCTCCAGTAAGTGAGACTGAGGAAGTCCTCATTTCAAGTTCCATTGTATTGGTTACAAAACAGTCCAGAAGTCACGTCCCAGAGAAACCAATTACGAGGAAGTCAAGCCTATCTAAGTTTCGATTTTGTGTTGACTTTTGTTATTTGAATAGCCAGACGCAACATTTTCAATACGAAATTCCAAACTTACAGGAACTAACTGAATCATTTTTGGCTAAAGTACCTAACTATCTAGCATCCATTGATCTCGGTTCGGATTTCTTCTAGATGAAAATTGATCGAAATAGCGCACGCCATACAGCCTTCAACACGTTTTGGTACTTTCAAGTTTTTGCGCTTACCGATGGGTCTTAGTTCTTCGCCGGGAACATTTCAGCTTCTGAGTGACCGTATTCTTCATGGTCTCACGTTTAAAGTTTGTCTGTGCTATTTGGATGATGTCCTCATTGCCTCTAGTACATTTCAAGAACATTTGGCAGACATCGAGATTGTTTTCTCTCGTCTTCAAGCTGCTGGTTTGAAACTTGGACCTAGAAAGTGTTGTTTTGCACAAAGCTCATGTGTCTTTCTTGGCCATCATATCTCAAAGAATAGGATATTGCCGCCTCCAGATAGAGTTGACGCCGTGCTACATCTCAAGCCTGCTTCAGATGTAAAAGAACTTAGACGTCTTCTTGACACATTTAATTGGTTTCGAAAATACATCAAGAATTATAGGTCTATTGTCGAACCATTGCAACGCCTCACCAAGAAGGGTGTTGAGTTCAAGTGGATGAATTTGCAACAAAATGCACTAGATGACCTCAAAGCTGCTCTTACCAATTCACCTGCACTAGCTTTCCCTGACTACAACCTTCCATTTCGCTTAGCAGTGGATACGTCTTCACATGGCCTTGGCTACATGCTATATCAAGTACATAATGTTGATGGCAAGGACATCAATCGTGTGGTACGATTTGGCTCCAAATCTTTGAACAGCTGGTAAAAGTCCTATGGGCCGACCAATCTAGTATTGGTTGGTATGGTTAATGCTTTCTTGGATTGTTCGATGTATCAGAAAGGATCAAAATTTTCTGTGGAAGGTGACCAGGCTTTAAAGCCACTGTACGAAAACAAATTGAAGGGCACTATCTACGAAAGGTGACTAACAATTTTCCAGCAAAACAACTTTAAGATAGCATATAAACCAGCTTCCCAGATGCAAGTTCTAGATGCATTCAGTCGGTGTCCTGTACCAGATGTTCGTGATAGCCCAGCCGATGATGACCCCTTTTTTCCTTATGTGAATGACATGGCTGGTGATGTCCGATTACCCACAGGTCAAAACTTGGCAGAAAGTTTGCGTCCGAAACAATGTAACAAACCAGCAAGAACATTTTGACGTAACATTAAATAAAAAAAAAACACTTAGCAATGCTATCAGGGATAAGGAATCTTATCTTTTACACGCCTGTCGAACGGCAAAGAACGTATTATGGTATACCCTCTGCGTCCGTCCGGTCGTCCATTTGTCCATCAACATTTCTTGAAAACCATAAGTCCAATTCAAGCGAAATTTTGCATGAGTGTAGATAGCAGTATGCAGTTATGCTCTCGGCTACCATTCTTTTTTTTCGGTCGGACATCAAAAATGGCACAATAGCTCTTGATTCAAATGTCATCTTAGTGTGATCTCGTCTTATCACCTGGTATTGTGTATTGTTATGTTCGGAGAGGACTTGATAAGACCACTGATCCCTTTACTGTCAATGAGATAGGTTTGAATCGACAAGCAAGGGTGGAAATTTATATATTTTTTGTTCGTGCTGCGTTCTTAGTAACATGTAAAAAATTCGATCAAATTTTGTGACATGGTAATGTTATTCACTAAGACACAAAGGATGCAGGGTGTTCAAACTACAGTGTATCTTGAAGATTTAGAAAGTGAATGCTGATAGCTGTACGGTAATAGAAATGTTACAGAATTCAGTAATAACATGACGAATAAGATATTTTCGGTCTTTTCCAGAAAGATAATTGGTTTTTACAGTTTTAAAAGATTGTATACAACTTTGTTGTAACTTTGTAACATGTGTGTTGACCTAAATTTAGTCAAATATTGTCAACATTAATAATTATGGGGACATAACTCCCCATCACATCACATGGCGCTACATTTGAAAGTTCTTATATATAAACTTTTGTATATATTTATTTTACAATAACTGCGAAACAAGTCATTTCCATTTATACTAATCACTCTTGTTGGCCCGGATGTAAGCGCACGAGGGGTCTAAATTTGGGAGGAAACCGGAGTGCCCGGGGAAAACCCCACGTGTCCGTTCCAGGAATCAAACCCCAGACGACTAGGTGGAAGACGAGTGCGTTACCACTGCGCCACCCAACCATCCTAAAAGTTCTTAGGGGTGTATATAGATAAAAGAAATTCACTCCGTGTTTATCACAGACTTGTTATTAATATTTTCATTTACTACAGTTCGTCTGTCCGCCCGTCAGATTCTTTTACACAATGACTAGTGCAACCTCAAGACTACATCATTTCTTTTGTATTTGTTCCATATGTTAAGTGACAGGACAATGAACAAAGCTACACAAGTCTTGACATCTTGTCGGATTAAAAAAAAATCAATCCACACAATTTGAAAAACAGATTTCAAAAATATTTTGATATACTTTAATATTTAAACAAAAATTCTGATATGACGTCATCAGCGTCTACACGTCAGACATTATCAATCTCTACAACTGATCATAACCGATATACGGTTAGATAAGAAAGACACCGTGCATCGTTTCCTGTCATCTCACCAATTGTCCAAGGTAAGGTTAAACATGCTGTTGGTTTCTAAAGTAAAGTGTTTCAAAACGTAATGGAGAATTGATTCTAATGAAATCCACAATTAGTGAGCAATACATGATAACTGAAAAATCTTCTACATTGACAAACCTTCTACACTGACAAACCTTCTACACTGACAAACCTTCTACACTGACAAATCATCTACACTGACAAACGTACACTGACAAACCTTCTACACTGACAAATCATTTACACTGACAAACGTACACTGACAAACCTTCTACACTGACAAAACTTCTACACTGACAAACCTTGTGTTCTACACAGACAAACCTTCTACACTGACAAACCTGCTACACTGACAAAAGTTCTACACTGACAAACCTTCTACACAGACAAATCTTCTACACTGACAAACTTTCTACACTGACAAACCTTCTACAATGACAAACCTTATACACTGACAAACCTTATACACTAGCAAACCTTTTACACAGACAAACCTTCTACAATGACAAACCTTATACACTGACAAACCTTATACACTAGCAAACCTTTTACACTGACAAATCTTCTACACTGAAAACCTCCAACATTTACAAACCTTCTACACTGACATATCTTCTACACTTACAAATGTTCTGCATTGAGAAACCTTCTACACTGTCTGACAAACCTTCTACACTGACAAACCTACAGTGACAAATGTTCTACACTGACAAACCTTTTACACTTAAAAAATCTTCTACACAGACAAACCTACACTGTCAAACCTTCCACACAGACAAATCTTCTACACTGACACACCTTCTACACAGACAAACCTTTTACACAGACAAACCTTCTACAGACAAACCCTCTACACTGACAAACCTTTTACACTGACAATCCTTCCACATTTGCAAACCTTCTACACTGACAAAACTATACTGACATAAATAATGTCGATTTTATGATAAATCTGGTAATCGACTTAAGTTCACGATGTCGGACAAACGAATTGTCATTTTTATTTAAATGTAAAAGATGACCTTGAACCTTGGAGTATGTTTTTTGGGCCCAAAATATCCTCTTTTTCCGATTTACACTTCTGTGGAAGCAGCAGACGCCATGCTTGTATGTCTCCAGAGTCTCGAGCCATTCGATGTAAGCGTCAACTGTCGTGTAGGTTTTGGTTTTGGTCGTCTAACACATAACCCACACATCATATATCGAAAACACTGCCGGAAGTTCTGACTAAATATACTGTACAGAATCGGATTGGCTGCAGAATTCAGATTAGCTATGACCATTGTAAACACTTGAAAAGAAAAGTTTTCATGGAACGTTGTTGGGGAAACTGTGTTACAGATCAGTAAGATCTGATTGGGAGAGTAACTTATGAAATAAACAATCACACTCAACATCAACATTTTAACCACGCCCCTCCGCGCTTGTAGCGCCTCTGAGAACCGTTCCATGGATGACCCGTTCACCTGACGAACTGTTACCCTTCGATGGAGTCTGTCCGATCCCAGGAATAGATGTTTCGTGATGAAGGCGTATAACACTATCTGTATCAACAACGGCATGAAATAAAACAGAACCGACTCAATATATTTAAATACTTTAAAGTAAAATATGTGGTTATCGGGAAACACCATCATACAGTACAGCACTGGTATGTGAGGATGGCCCTGTCGGACTTCGTTGAATATTAAAGTCGGAAGTCCTGCTGCCCATGCGCACGGCCATATGCATCCAAGAATAACGACGATTCGGCGCTTGTTACAAACAATGTGGGCTTTGATTGGATGAATGATCGCAACGTATCTGGAACGAAACAAAATGTCATAATTACAAGTGTGCGGTTTTCAAATCATCCATTTTAAAAAGATCTTTTACCTAAGTCAATCCTCCGAACATATATGTGCAAAACTTATAATGATGGTTTTATCACGATATCGGTTCTACGTTTTGATTAAGAGTTAAACCCCCCATCCCCGTTATTAAGAGTTAAACCCCCCACCCCCGTTATTAAGAGTTAACCCCCCCCCCCCCCCGTTATTAAGAGTTAAACCCCCACCCCCGTTATTAAGAGTTAAACCCCCCACCCCCGTTATTAAGAGTTAAACCCCCCACCCCCGTTATTAAGAGTTAAACCCCCCACCCCCGTTATTAAGAGTTAAATCCCCCACCCCCGTTATTAAGAGATAAACCCCCACCCCCGTTATTAAGAGTTAAACCCCCCACCCCCGTTATTAAGAGTTAAACCCCCACCCCCGTTATTAAGAGTTAAACCCCCCACCCCCGTTATTAAGAGTTAAACCCCCCACCCCCGTTATTAAGAGATAAACCCCCCACCCCCGTTATTGTATTTGATACATTGATTATATGTATGTCGGTTTTTAACACTTCTTATACAAACTCGTTAAGGAAGCGCTACTGTTGTAACCCCACCTACTACTGTAACTTTCCCCTTCCCCATACATTAGTACGTAAAGTAACCCCGCCCATTGATTTGACTCCATCTTTTAATGTGACTTCCTCCACAATTGTACCTCAGGGTTGATATAGCTTCCCCCAGGGTTGATATACCTTCCCCCAGGGTTGATATAGTCCTCCCTAGGGCTGATATATCTTTCCCCAGGGTTGATATAGTCTTACCCAGGGTTGATATAACTTTCCCCAGGGTTGATATAGTCTTCCCCCAGTGTTAATATAGTCTCTCCCCCAGGGTTGATATACCTTCCCCCAGGGTTGAAATAGTCTTTCCCCCAGGGTTAATATATCTTTCCCTAGGGTTGATATAGCTTTCCCCAGGGTTGATATAGTCCTCCCCAGGGCTGATATATCTTTCCCCCAGGGTTTATATAGTCTTACCCAGGGTTGATATAGCTTCCCCCAGGGTTGATATAGTCTTCCCCCAGGGTTGATATATCTTCCCCCAGGGTTGATATATCTTTCCCCAGGGTTGATATAGTCCTCCCTAGGGCTGATATATCTTTCCCCAGGGTTGATATAGTCTTACCCAGGGCTGATATATCTTTCCCCAGGGTTGATATAGTCTTACCCAGGGTTGATATAGCTTTCCCCAGGGTTGATATAGTCCTCCCCAGGGCTGATATATCTTTCCCCCAGGGTTTATATAGTCTTACCCAGGGTTGATATACCTTTCCCCAGGGTTGATATAGTCCTCCCCAGGGCTGATATATCTTTCCCCCAGGGTTTATATAGTCTTACCCAGGGTTGATATACCTTTCCCCAGGGTTGATATAGTCCTCCCCAGGGCTGATATATCTTTCCCCCAGGGTTGATATAACTTTCCCCAGGGTTGATATAGTCTTCCCCCAGTGTTAATATAGTCTCTCCCCGAGGGTTGATATACCTTCCCCCAGGGTTAATATATCTTTCCCTAGGGTTGATATAGCTTTCCCCAGGGTTGATATAGTCCTCCCCAGGGCTGATATATCTTTCCCCCAGGGTTTATATAGTCTTACCCAGGGTTGATATACCTTTCCCCAGGGTTGATATACCTTTCCCCAGGGTTGATATACCTTTCCCCAGGGCTGATATATCTTTCCCCCAGGGTTTATATAGTCTTACCCAGGGTTGATATATCTTTCCCCAGGGTTGATATACCTTTCCCCAGAGTTGAAATAGTCTTTCCCCCAGGGTTAATATATCTTTCCCTAGGGTTGATATAGCTTTCCCAAGGGTTGATATAGTCTTCCCCCAGGGTTGATATAGTCTTCCCAAAGGGTTAATATAGTCTCTCCCCCAGGGTTGATATACCTTCCCCCAGGGTTGATATAGTCCTCCCCAGGGTTGATATAGTCTTCCCCCAGGGTTGATATAGTCCTCCCTAGGGCTGATATATCTTTCCCCAGGGTTGATATAGTCTTCCCAAAGGGTTAATATAGGGTCTGATATACCTTCCCCAGGGTTGATATAGTCTTCCCCCAGGGTTGATATAGTCTTCCCCAGGGTTGATATATCTTTCCCCAGGGTTGATATAGTCCTCCCTAGGGCTGATATATCTTTCCCCAGGGTTGATATAGTCTTCCCCAGGGTTGATATATCTTTCCCCAGGGTTGATATAGTCCTCCCTAGGGCTGATATATCTTTCCCCAGGGTTGATATAGTCTTCCCAAAGGGTTAATATAGTCTCTCCCCCAGGGTTGATATACCTTCCCCCAGGGTTGATATAGTCCTCCCCAGGGTTGATATAGTCTTTCCCCCAGGGTTGATATAGTCTTTCCCCAGGATTCATATAGTCTCTCCCCCAGGGTTGATATACCTTCCCCCAGGGTTGATATAGTCCTCCCCAGGGCTGATATATCTTTCCCTAGGGTTGATATAGTTTTACCCAGGGTTGATATATCTTTCCCCAGGGTTGATATATCTTTCCCAAGGGTTGATATAGTACTCCCCAAGGCTGATATATCTTTCCCCAGGGTTGATAAAGTCTTCCCAAAGGGTTAATATAGTCTCTCCCCCAGGGTTGATATAGTCCTCCCCAGGGTTGATATAGTCTTCCCCAGGGTTGATATATCTTCCCCCAGGGTTGATATATCTTTCCCCAGGGTTGATATAGTCCTCCCTAGGGCTGATATATCTTTCCCCAGGGTTGATATAGTCTTACCCAGGGTTGATATAACTTTCCCCAGGGTTGATATAGTCTTCCCCCAGGGTTAATATAGTCTCTCCCCCAGGGTTGATATACCTTCCCCCAGGGTTGATATAGCTTTTCCCAGGGTTGATATACCTTCCCCAAGGGTTGATATAGTACTCCCCAAGGCTGATATATCTTTCCCCAGGGTTGATATAGTTTTACCCAGGGTTGATGTATCTTTCCCCAGGGTTGATATAGTCTTCCCCCAGGGTTAATATAGTCTCTCCCCCAGGGTTGATATACCTTCCCCCAGGGTTGATATAGCTTTTCCCCAGGGTTGATATACCTTCCCCCAGGGTTGATATAGTCCTCCCCAGGGCTGATATATCTTTCCCCGGGGTTGATATACCTTCCCCCAGGGTTGATATAGTCTTCCCCCAGGGATTCATGTAGTCTTCCCCCAGGGTTGATATACCTTCATATAGTCTTCCCTGATAAAACCAGATACTGATATTTATGTAATAATACTGTGAAATGAACATTTTTATAATGTGCCAAGGATTTCAGAGGCATTCCGATATTTTATATATATATTTATATACGATAATTGTTTTTAAAGGAAACAAATGTTCATCATTTTCTATTCCCTTTCGTACTTCCTGGAAAATCTCTACGGATATAAATCTTCCAATAAGACCACTGAATAATTGATAAGTTTGAAATAGAATTCTCTACATGATTATCTGCAAATAACAAAAACAGAAGTTTCTGAAATTCCAAATGATGAGAACGATGGCTGACGATATGTATAAAACCCCCAAGTCTGATCATGTGTCTCATCCACTGAGATACATATCAAAATATAACAGCTTGAAGAACACAATTGTATTGATCCAAATAGTTGAAAAAACTATTTTCACCTGAAATGCTTAGCGAGTTTTCTGTTTCCATGGCAACATGGTTACATAAGGAAATCTAAAACATCAAACAGATCACGAAAAATCAGGCAGAAAAACAGAAACCAGAACCTTTTCCTGGAAAAAATGAGGTAGCATAATTAGACCATAAGAAGCATATTAAATAGAATATTTATCAGGAAGAGATGACAACGTTACACGATAGAGCTATGCAGTACTTGTTTAAGATCTTGTAGTCACTATAACTTTTTTTTTTTTTTAATTCAGAACAATTTCATAACTTAAAATTGAATAATACGACAATAAATTAAAATACAGACCTCATTGTTGTTATCTGACTGTTATTGTTTATGTTATCTGACTGTTATTGTTTATGTTATCTGACAGTTATTGTTTATGTTATCTGACTGTTATTGTTTATGTTATCTGACTGTTATTGTTTATGTTATCTGACTGTTATTGTTTATGTTTATGTTATCTGACTGTTATTGTTTATGTTATCTGACTGTTATTGTTTATGTTATCTGACTGTTATTGTTTATGTTATCTGACTGTTATTGTTGATGTAATTGTTATCTGACTGTTATTGTTTATGTTATCTGACTGTTATTGTTTATGTTATCTGACTGTTATTGTTGATGTAATTGTTATCTGACTGTTATTGTTTATGTTATCTGACTGTTATTGTTTATGTTGATGTTATCTGACTGTTATTGTTTATGTTGTTGTTATCTGACTGTTATTGTTTATGTTATCTGACTGTTATTGTTTATGTTATCTGACTGTTATTGTTTATGTTGATGTTATCTGACTGTTATTGTTTATGTTGTTGTTATCTGACTGTTATTGTTTATGTTATCTGAGTGTTATTGTTTATGTTATCTGACTGTTATTGTTGATGTAATTGTTATCTGACTGTTATTGTTTATGTTATCTGACTGTTATTGTTTATGTTGATGTTATCTGACTGTTATTGTTTATGTTGTTGTTATCTGACTGTTATTGTTTATGTTATCTGACTGTTATTGTTTATGTTATCTGACTGTTATTGTTTATGTTGATGTTATCTGACTGTTATTGTTTATGTTGTTGTTATCTGACTGTTATTGTTTATGTTATCTGAGTGTTATTGTTTATGTTATCTGACTGTTATTGTTGATGTAATTGTTATCTGACAGTTATTGTTTATGTTATCTGACAGTTATTGTTTATGTTTATGTTATCTGACTGTGATTGTTTATGTTAATGTTATCTGACTGTTATTGTTTATGTTTATGTTATCTGACTGTTATTGTTTATGT